CAGTAGACACCTTACAAATGTTTTCTCCATTAAATCAATCTTGCTGGGACTGCAATCAGTAGGCACAGAGGCCAGGGATAACTCAGATCGAGTCCCTTCCCAACTACTTGGATCTCCTTCCATTCCCAGGGGGCCATTCTTCATAGTAAGGTTGATTAAAATCACCAGTTTGCTTTGGAAATGGCTATCCACCTTAGAACGCCCTCCTCAGTGGGCCCTGTCGTCTTCTTTATCACCTCATTCTCAACATTCAGCCAGTGAATGCTGCCCTTGCTGAGGTCAATGGAGACCAACGGTAGGATGAAGGTAACTTATCTTCTTCCTTTTTATACTGCTAAGCCCTTTAAAGGACGCCCTGGCCAATCAGACCTAGTGAACACCTCTCTTGCTGCCTTGAAGTGGCAGGTTAAGGAGGTGCTCAGGCTGGAGCTTTTTTGTACTCCATTTTGTGATAGCAGTGGTTTATGACTGTTTATGATCATGCTTTATCTACTACCTATGGTGTTTGAAATGTTCAAAAGGATCAGCGCTACTAAAGTTGGAATAGGTATTTATGTTTATATTTAAATTTGCTATTATTTAGATATTTTAAAGGTCTTCATAAAATATTAATGAGTTAAATAAATTGAGTTACGAAGGTTTATACAGATTTGATAATTCCTCTCATGCCCATAGAGCAATCTAATAAAAAAAGCAAAAATAAAACAGGACAGCTTTTTGTTTTAAATGATTATGTAAAAAATTGTAAAAATATGTTAAGAGGTAAGCTAGTAGTTATTTGAATGTCATCTTCCTCGCTGTGGGACCTCAGTATTGTGAAAAAGGCTAGGCTTATTTGAAGCTTTTTCAAAAATGAATTTAAGAAAGCATACTGACTCACTGACAGAACATAAGGAGTTGTGCTGAAATATTTGGTCAAATCTGGTAGTAGTGCCTTATAAGCATCCCCAAATAAGATACATTGTTAACATCAGGAGGGAAGTTACAACTATCTCCTTTTCACATACATAAATACTTGGGACCTCTTCAGCCAGCCTGACCATAACTTCAACTTGTTTTGAAAACACACTAAGATGTGCAACAAGCCCTGGAGCTGGGGTCGAGGGTCACTTCACACACAGGTTCCTCCACTTAAAAGCTACTGTGTCTTCTCTGATTCTCAAACCAGCCACTGTAATCCCTGGTCCCATCCTTCCCACTGTTCAAGTGACAATGTGTGAAAGTACAAAAGATTCAAGTTTTACGAGAGTTAAAATTCTTATGAAAAGAATAAATTTCCTCAGATTTGGTACAAAAGATGTTTGGTACAAACTATTAATAGATATTATGATGCTAATAATTTCAGTTTAACAACAAAACAGTAATCACCAGAATTAAGATCTTTATGCATCTTTATTGGTTCTAAGTAATGGTAGTTTTCATGGTATAATGATATGTTTAGGAGCCAAGCAAGATGCACTGAGAACATGCTGAGCTCAGGATCTCCTAGAAGTGTGGTAATTACAAAAAAATCCAATCAGGGACAGAAGGGAAATACCAATGAAGTAAGAATCCCACATCACTGCTTGGCGAGTTTGGGACAGCGCCCAAGATAAGACCAAGCTTAACCTAGAGACAAGCAGAGCCCCAAATGTATCAACAGTGACCTGGAAGCAGCCAGCGCAAATAACTTACTCATTGAGGGTGAATGTTCAGCAGTTTTGAATGCTGGGTGACCCACAGAGAGGTGGATGCAGCATCCTTGCTGTGACAGAACTCCCCTAGGTGTCCTTAGTGAAGCTGAAACAGGCCAAGATCTCTGACTCTTTCTTTCTCTTTCTTTCTTTCTTTCTTTCTTTCTTTCTTTCTTTCTTTCTTTCTTTCTACCTGTCTCCTCTTCTGACCACTGCTTCAAATCCTTTGCTGGGTACATCGGACAAAGGGATCACACAGTTCTTACTTTCAGGGAATTCAGAATGTGATATAAAAAGCATATATTTATAGATAAGTCATTATGACACAAGGTAAAAAGGACAAAGGACATTCCCCCTTCCCACCTCCACCTAGCAGAGGCCTAGTTGGCACAGCAGACAATAGCCCCCAGCAGCCTGTGGAAAGGACCAACGGAGGCTCAGACTGTGAACTCTGTCAACACAAAGGGATGTGAGGCATCCCTAAATAATGCAATGGGATAAACTCACAGCCTTCTGGAGAAAAGCGATCAGCTGAATAGGGCCAAAGTGGGGTTCACCAAATCCTTCAGCCTCAGGTTGGCCTCTGTGGGTCCTTTTGTTTACTCTGTAACTTCTTGATATCCTCTGTCTTTCTAAGGAGAGCCTCATGACCAAGAGTCACAGGTCCAAATATAGCACCAAACAACATGAGCCTGAGGTATATGTCAAGGAGCACGGGCAGAGCCAGAAGGTTGAGTAGAGACCCTTTTTCTTGCACTCCATTGGTATCTATGTGTGTTGGACAGACCCATTCTAAGGGCCTGGGGGACACAGTGAGAGCCTCTGAGAGCAAAGGACCAAAGCCTATGTGGTCTTCTTGCATCTCCTGTCTCCCCCCCCCCCTTTACAACTATGACTACCTTTTCTATTCTGCTAACCTGAAGGTGGCTAAAGTGGCTTCAGGGATAGCCGCCACGGCATGGGATATGTCCTAGGGCCCTGAAAGCCTCAGGTGCCTGGCACAGCTGGAGTGCCCACAGCTATCTTTGTTGGTCACTTAAAACACGAACAAGTTGAGGCAGCTTAACAGTACAGGGTGGGGTTGGGCCTCCTCTGCAGCCTAAACAGCAGGCTTGTGCAGGTCTCTCTCCCTTCCCATGACCTTCAGGAAAACAACTCCAGCCTGCTGTCATTTCTTCTTCACTGAACCACCACCTACACCATCTCCCCAGCCTACACCTTGAACTTGCTCTCTCTCTTCCTAAAGACACCGGGACTCACCTGCAGTTCTTCCTCTTCAGCTACCATCACCCATCTGTCCCTCTCTGGTCTTCCTCTTGGACTTTCTGTGTCCCCAACCCTCTTTTCTTTTTGGAAATACGTATATAGTTTCTTCCCAATTAAAGAGTTTCACTGCTAGTCACTAAGTAGAAATGAACAGGAAGCAAAGGGGGAAGGAGTGAGAGTCATTTAGAAATGAGTGTTGGCATAGTTGGCTTCAGCTGTCAACTTGACACAAACCCTAGAATCACCTGGGAAGAAGGAAACTCAATTGAGGAATTTCCTCTATCAGACAGGCCTGTGGGCATGTCCATGGGGCATTTTCTTGATTGCTAATTGATGTAGGAAGGCTTAGCCCACAGTGGGTGATGCTATCCCCGGGCAGGTGGGCCTGGGCTGTACAAGAAAGGTAGTCAAGTAAGCCAGGAAGAGCAAGCCAGCCAGCAGTGTTCCTCCATGGTCTCTGCTTCAGATCTTGCCTTGAGCTTCTTCCCTGACTGCCTTCGATGACTGATTATAACCTGTAAGCTAAAATAAACCATTTTAAGTTGCTCTTGGTCACTGTTTCATCACAGCAATAGAACACAAAGAAGGACATGTATTTTAAAAGAAGTGCTTTTAGATATCTCTGGTCCACATTGGCATGTGGTCAATCCCTTTCCTTGACTCCCTTCTTGGATAATCCCAAAGAAATCTTGACATTCTGTTTCTCATTCTTTAGCCCTGGTCATAGAACTCAGCCATTGTGCCCACTCCTATCTAATTGGGTATAGCGTGAAGAAGCTGTGCTCTATAGGAGTTTCTGCTTCTCAAGAGGGGGATGCTCTCCTCCTCCCCAGTTACCCCCTGCTATCACCAACCCTGTTCACCCCTAGACCTTGGCTGCCCTTTACTTTTTAACATGAGAGAGGTCTCCATTGACAGCTTCACATAAGGACATTAAAGGGAAGTATTTATGCATTCATTACTTTAACCCCAAACTGGAAGGTCTGCATGCCAAGCTGACTGGTAACCATCATTTAGTAAGCAATGGAGAGCCACAAATGATTTTGAGCCAAGGATCAATAGCAAGTACCTTGTTTTGTGCACAGCCTCTCAAGGAGTAATTATTCAAACATACACACAAGTGAGTGAATAATGAATATTCATAACTGCATACTGGGATGGTTACTTTGTCAATGAATGAGAGTCCAAGGGAATGTTTTAAAGCCACAGTCTTAAGTAATATGCTGAAACAGGCAGAGGAAATCCTTTTCATTCTGTAGAACTCTACCTGACAGGTATACCTTGCAATCCCAACCTCCTGGGTGCATACCAGGACTTAAGAAGACCTGGCACTACTCAGCATCAAATATACCTAGCTGACAACTTAAGGCAGTATCTTCCCCCAAATAAGGATTAAAAATGGGGATAAAGAATAAATCTCTAGGGGCTGGAGAGATCGCTCAGTGTTTAAGAGCACTGGCTTCTCTTGCAGAGGACCTAGGTTCAGTTCCCAGCACCCACATGGTGACTCACAACCATCCATAACTCCAGTTCCAGGGAATCTGACACCCTCTTCTGACCTCTGGGCATTGCACACCATAGGTGCACTTACATACATGCAGACAATGCACTCATATACATAAAATACAAATAAAATATTTTTCTTTTTAAAAAATTTTTTATTGAATTTTTGTGTATTTCATATGGAAAATCATCTTTATGCCCCCTTCCCCTTTGGCACCCTCCCACAGCCCCCAACTGGAGTTCATACATTCTGTTGTGTTAAGGCTTATCATGTAAAGTTAGTGTCCCCAGATGTCCCTTAGTGCAAGTTCACCCACTGGGATCTAGTCAGCCTATCTAGAGTTACTCCCTTTAAGATCAGCTCATTCTTACCCAGCAGTCATCAGCTGCCAATAATTCTTTGACTAAAATTGGGGCCTGCTGTTCTTTTCCACAGTTCTGTGCTGGGTTTTTGTCTGCTTAAGTTTGTATGGGTCTTGTGTATGCTGACACCATTGCTTTAAGTTCGTATGAGAAGAGTCCCAGGAGCCCGTAGGGCTATTCCCATATGGTCATGCACCTCCTCCTTGGCTCTTACAATCTTTCTGCCCTTCTTCCACAATGAGGTCTCATTATATTGTCCAGGTTGGCCTTGACTTCTTGGGGTGAAGGAATTCTCCTGCCTCAATCTCCTAAGACTGTGAGTATCATGGTGGTCAGTTTGCACACCTTAACCCTGCTTTAAAACCCTAACTCATGACCTTTCCCATCAGGAAGCATTCTAATTAAAGGAACTTCAGGTTCCCCTTTCATGGAGGTGATAGCATCAAAGCAATAAGCACCACTATTAAGGGCAGCTGACATGGGCTTCTCATTTTTCTCTCTGAACATGATGTTTTCTGGATGAGGAAGGGAAGGTTGAACAGCAAAGCTTAGAGAAGGTGAGTGACCTCAAGACACTGCTATCTTGCTCAATTCTTCTAGGATGGGGACTTTCAGAGCTTTGAGCATGATCAGAAGGATGAGAGTATTTTTCTTGTTAAAAATGAAACACCCCATTCAGATCTTTTTTCTTGTCAAAATACCTGTATGTCACCTTATACTTGGATGAAGAGTGAGTCATTTGAAAAGAAAAGTCCTCTGACTTCCATTCAATAGCAGAGTCCTTTAGGCAGGCAGAGCTTGTTGATCACAGAGGGAGCAGGCACTCAGCCTCTCCTTCCAATGGGAAGACAAGAATCATAAATCAACCCTCTCATTTTCCAACGATGCACCCAAATTCCTAAAACAGGATGGTAGCAGAGCCGGGACCACAGCATGCTTTCCAGACTCCCAGTTCAATAGTCTTATTGCTGCAGGAGATATGGGGCAATTTTCTTTTGGCTCCTTGGAGAAAGAGAAGTTTAAAAAAATGGAGGAAGCAAAATATTGAGTTTTGGGGTTCTCTGTAGACACCAGTGACCTTTGTTATCCTGGCTGCAGCTGTCTTTCCCTTCTGTGGAGAGTCGGGTCCTCAGTCAGTCTGGCTTTGGCTTGGGCTCCTACCAGGGCTGGTGCAGTCTTCCTGTACATAGCTCAGGACCTCTTGGTATGAAAACAGACGGAAAGCAATCTGCTCAAACCCCTCCTTTGTCCCACACTCAAACAGACATGCGAACAAGCCTTGTTCTTCCACAGTAGCCAGATCAGAGTAGCCACAGGGCCCATGGTGCAAGATCCAGGGGTGGGACCAGCAGGCCATCTCCAAGGGGTTCTGATTGCAGTAGATGCCTAGGTTTATTCTCTCTTTCTTACTAGTTGGATGTGAGTACAAGAGCCATGTTCCCAATGGTGTTCCAGATCCTTCCTCCAGCTTCAGAGAATTGTCCAGCAGAGGGCTTTTCTGAGTAGTGGGAGCATCTTTATCATTAAGGCTCTGGCATGTATGTGGCAGCCTCAAGGGTTTAAAGCTAACTACACTGCCCTGGCAGCCATGAGGAGGCTCATAGAGCTGTGGGTTCAGGGTTGGTGTCTGAAAGCAGTCACCAGAATCAGTGCTAAAAGCCTCTGCCCGGAATCTGCTTGATGTCCGGGCACTGCAGTAGAGCATAGGATTACTAGCCCTCCAAGTCACCTCTGCCACTTGGCACTCCACTGTCCCCAGGGGCTTAATAAGGTTGCCATGGTGCCATGTGATCCCTAAGTCATCACTGTAGATCATCATGGAGTGCGGCTTGACTGAACATGGCAGCAGGAGGCACAGGAACGAGTATGAGAAATAGTAGGCATACGCAGGGATGACCAGCCTCCCTGACTGCAACTGGATGCCATGACCTGGGCCCACAGCGAATGTGGCCCAGTGCTTCACCTCTGGGTCAGTGACCTCCTCAGTCAAGTCCTTCAGCTCACTCCATGAGTATCCAGCATCCTTACTGCAAATGAAGCAGAGGCGGGCAGCATTCCTACCCGAGCAAATCTGCTGACTTTCAGTAACATGCTTCTTCACACAGATGAAAAACAGGTACACACAGCCAGTCTTCTGCTCCCACACAGGACAGGGGTTCATGGTCCGATGCCCAGGTAGTGTGGCTTCCATCAGTGGCTTTAAGGGTCCCCACTAGTCAGGGGGAAGAGAGAGAGGGGGGTGTAAGATACTAATAGGCAGACGTAAGGCTCATTTAAATGCACTAGTACTCAAAAAAAAAAAAAGCACTAGTACTCTTCATAAGCAAGAAAAAAAAAAGATATTGAAATCAACAAACCCTTAAGGGCCCAAATTCCCAAGTATTGCAGAGTGATTTTAAAAGCTGAACAAAGAAAATGCTAGACATTGTGCAAGCTGTACTCTCTCTAGACTGCACCTCCTCATTTTAGCTGAACTTCCAAATCATTTTCCAATACCCAAGGACAATGTCACCTTCTTTGGTAAGGCTTCCTTGAAACTCATGTCTTTTTCTTATAAGCACCAGCGATTATATAACACAACATAATTTTAGGTAACTGTCTCCCTTCATGAACAATGAGCCTTTTGGGTAGAACCCAAATTATACTCATTTGTATCTCCAGTACTTGGCACATGGATAGTAGCTAAATGAAATTTTACAAAAAAGATGAGGCCCAGGGAAATGGCTCAGAGGGTAGCGGTTTTTGCTGCCAAACCTGACAATCTGAGTTCAATCCCTGGGACCCACATGGTAGAGGGAGAAAACCAACTCCTGTAAGTTGCCCTTTGACTACCACACATGCAGCCTGGCACATGTGTACTGAGAGAAAGGGGCAGGGGGTAAAAATGTAATTTTTAAAAAGATGATGGGGCTGGAGAGATGGCTCAGTACTGGTTGCTCTTGTAGAGGGCCCAGATTTGGTTCCCAGCACCAACATGGCAGCTAACAATCACCCTTAACTTCAATTCCAGTGGATCCAAAACCCTTTTCTGGCCTCCATGGGCATTGTACAACACAGGTGTACCTACTTACATGCAGCAAACACTCATACACATAAAATTTAAAGATCTTTTAAAAATATAATGAAGAAAAAGGAAGAAAAGTGAGGCAGGAAAATAGGGGCATTTTAGGCAAAGATGGAGGTTCAAGACTAAAGAATATTCTTTCCCTATTTCTGTGCTTCCCTGGGGAGGTGATTCATAACAGTATTATTAAAGGCTCAGGGAGAGTCAGAGACGGCTGCTTCAAACCCTGCCTTGAACACCATTGTGATACATTGGGCAGGTCTGCCTCCTATTTCTTCATCAGTCAAATGGAGATTAAGAGAGGAGTTATTGGGGCTGGAGAGATGGATCAGCAGTTAAGGACACTTGCAGAAGACCCAGGTTCAAATCCCAGCACCCATATGGCAGCTAACAACTGTCCGTAACTCCAGTTCCAGGGGATCCGACAGCCTCTTCTGTCCTCTGCGGGCATTGCACGACATTGGTGCACCTACTTACATGCAGGCAATACACGCATACACATAAAATAAAAATAATAAATATTTTTAAAAAGAGAGAGGAGTTATTGAAAAGACAATGAGATAATGTCTAAAGAAAGGCCTCTCCTCCTTAATCAGAATCTAGTAAGTTTCCAGAACCCCAACAGAAATGGGCAAAAAGCAAATAAGACATGTTACAGAAAGAGAAAAAAATGTTCAACCACACATAAAAATGACACAGAAATGAAATTAAACTGATAGTATGTTCATCTCATAATTTTTAAGTCATAAAGTCTGATAATATTGTTAGTAAAAATGTGAAGAAACAGTCTCCTTTATCTATAGATTAGAATACAAATGGTTCAATCTTTATGTACAGATACATTTGTCTTTTCCCAGGATGCTCAGTTCTAGATATATCCTAAGATACATGTGTTCACCGAATTAAAGGCCAGGATGCATTGGGATAAAGCACCTGCCCAGCATATGTAAGGTCCTGAGTTCAATCCTGGCACCACACACACAAAGTACAAGATGATTCACTGTGAGCTAAATAAACCTCTTTTATTTAAAAAAAAAATTAAATGATATTTCATGGTAGCTTTGCTTGTAATAGTAAATATCCCAAATAGTCAGCATGGGGACTGGTTGACTAGGTTTTAAAAGATAAAAATTGATATGGAAATAGTCTATAAAATATTGTTAAGCTACACTGCCTGAAAACCTTGACCCAGGTCCCCAGGCCTACCTACTCCACCTGGACAACTTTGCTCCAAGAGCCAAGCCCACATAGCCTACTGTACCAAGTAGAGAACCCTGCTTCCCCTGCTTAGGTCTGCTTGTGCCACCTGGGAACTCCCTATCAGCCTACATTGGAAACCTGTATTTCAGTGCTATTAAGACTTTCTTAGTCCTCCCCTGAATATTGTAAATTCCTCCACTGAAAGAAGAAAGGCAACTTGAAAAAACAGAAGGAAAACCTCAGCTAACAAACTATTCCAGATGTGCAAGTTCCAGCACAGAAACAAAAACAACTCAAAAAAACCCAAGGCAACATGTCTCTTCCCAAAATCACTAATCCCATAACAATGGCACCCAATGAAAATGACCTGGAAGAACCTCCAGACAAAGAATTCAAAAGAACAATAATAACTGTGTTCAAGCAACTCAGAGAAGGCATGACTATACTCTGAGAATAAAAACAAAGAGATAAATGAAGCACGGGAATCAATACAAGTATGAAAACGGAATTCAATAGAGAATTACTGGGGGGAAAAGTCCAACTAAAATGATGCCGAAAACAAAAATCTCAATAAGCCAAATAAAAATCTCAGTAAAAATAAAACTTCACCAATAGACTGGATCACATAGAAAACACAGTATTAGGGCTCAAAGACAAGGTAGAGGAATTGGATCACTCAGTAAAGGTCAATGTTCATATATATATATGAACAGAACATGGGAGAGCTCTGAGACCATGATGAAAAGATTATGGATTATGGCCATAGAAGAATGTCATACCAAAGGCATAGTGTTGGGGAACCCTGATGCTAATGTTGTAGTCCTCCATGTCTGGATAGCTCTAAGGGGCTCAGCGCTATATGGAAGGACTCCCTTTCTCAGCAGGGGCCTCCTGCTCTCTGCCTGAGTTACCTGGAAAGTGTCGCCAAGCACAGATGCCTGACCTTATTTGGAACATGATTTTTCTATATGATAATTAGGCATTGTCCTATAGTCAGATGATAGGATCCCCCTACCACATGTAAATAAAGCATATTATGAGCACCTATCAGCTGAGGCTTTGGTTGTTGCCTCCACACTATATTTTCCCTAACCCCCACTGAATAAATGGAGTTGTATCACTGAATCTGCCTCCCCAGAAGGGCTTTCTTCCATCGTGCTCACTGGCCATCCTGAACCCATTCGTTGCTTCTGCTCCCTTTGTTCTTGTGGGTCGGTGGCCAACGACCCACAAGGGGAGGGAGAGACCCACAGCACAGAAAATATTTTCAATAAAATCATAGAAGAAAGAGATTCAAACCTAAATCAAGAGATGCCCATGGAGGTATAAGAGGCCTATAGAACACCAAACAGGCAGGACTAGAGAAGAAACTCCCATGACATATTATAGGAAAAACATTTTTTTAAAAAAGAATAAAGAAAGGTATTGAAAGCTGCAAGAGGGAAAGGTTAAGTCACTTATAAAGGCAGGCTCATCAGAATAAAACTTGATTATTCAACAGAACCATTTAAAGGCAGAGGGCCTGGAAAGATGTATTCCAAGTTCTGAAGACCAGGAACACTATCTGTTAGAATTGATGGAGAGGGGCTGGAGAGATGGCTCAGTGGTTAAAAGCACTTCTGCTTTTGCAGAGGACCCAGGTTCAATTCCCAGTACCCACATGGCAGCTAACAACTGTCTGTAACTCCAGTTCCAGGGGATCTGATGTCTTCTTCTGACCTCCACTGGCACTGCATGGCATGGCTGCACTTATATACATGCAAGCAATACACTCATACACATTGAATAAAAATAATAAAATAGCCAGGCATGGTGGTGCATGCCTTTAATCCCAGCGCTTGGGATGCAAAGGCAGATGGATCTCTGAGCTCAAGCCCAGCCTGGTCTACATAGTAAGTTCCAGGCCAGGTAGGGCTACAGGGAGACCCTGTCTCAAAAAAAGACATAATAATAATGCATGCATATGCACCAAACATAGGTGTACTCAATTTCATAAAAGAAATACTACTTGAAATAAAACCACAGATTTATCACAACACATTGATTGTGGGTGACTTCAGTGTCACAAATAGACAGATCATCCAGACCAAAACTAAACAGAAACACTGGAGTTAAATGATATCATAAATCAAATGGACCTAACAGACACCTACAGAACATTCCACCCAAGCACTAAAGAATACAAATTTTTCTCAGTATCCCACGGAACATTCTCCAAAATCAACCACATACTAGGACACAAAGAAAATCTCCACAAATATAGGAAAATGTAAATAACATCCTGTATTCAACCTGACCACAATGGAATGCTAGAGAGCAGCAGCAAAAGAAACCACAGAAAGCACACAACCTCATGAAGACTAAACAACACATTACCGAATGATAACTGGGTCAAGGAAGAAACCAAGAAGAAAAATTTTAAATTCCTAGAATTGAATGAAAATGAAAACACACCAAAATCTATGGGACACAATGAAGGTAGTCCTAAGAGGAAAATTTATAGCATTAAGTGCCTACATCAAAAAATTTGAGGGGCTGGAGAGATGGCTCAGCAGCTAAGAGCACTGACTGCTCTTGCAGAGGACTCAGGTTCAATTCCCAGCACCCACATGGCAGCTACAAACCATCCTTAACTCCAGTCCCAGGGGAATCCGAAACTCTCTTCTGACCTCTTCTGACATTGTACAACATGGGTACACTCACACACATGCAGGCAATACACTCATACACATAAAATAAAAATAATAAAATATTTTTTAAATTGAAAAATACCAAATTAATAAGTTAATGGTACACCTCAAGGCCATGAAAAAAAAAAAGAAGAAGAAGAAACAAAACCCAAAACAGGAGGTAGGAAGAGATCATCAAAATCTGGCTGAAATCAATTGAGATTTTTAAAAAACAATACAGCCAGGCATGGTGGCACACGCTTTTAATCCTAGCACTTG